CCTCGAGTTCTATGAGGCAGACAAATTTGGGACAGCAATTTATCTTGCACTGCATCAGTGTTACTTGCCTCAATCTTATGTTACTGGTTTTGCAGTTTATTACAAATGTTTGCTGCCTTGATTATTGTGTCTGGTTATTTTGCATTATTCTGGGAGGTCAGGTGTGGGAGGACATAAAAATACCATAGCCCCCTGACCACCCCTAACATCTGTCCATATAAATAAGTCTACTGTTTTTTGCTGATGTAACCCAAAAGAGCCATTTTTTTCATTGCATATTCACATAGCATTTTTTCAGCACTAGAAAAGACTGTAGAAAAGCTGGAGTCATGACCTTTTCCCCTAGTAGAGTGTGGCTACAGAAATGACCAACTGCATTATGCTGAAATGTAGTTAAACCGCTGTCGACTCTGATGAAACTACACACCCAGCGCCCTGCTGTTAGACTCTATGAACCTTTGATGGCCAGTTAGCACTGCATAAAGAGAGCTGCAATCCTTTTCATTTGTTCAGTTTCTGGCAGGTCTGCAGGCATCACACTGTACACATTTCATGAAAACTGAAGTCCTTCAGTTCATTGTACTACCATTATCTTTAAGCATGGGCTGTGATGAAGTGACTGGAATCGACAGAGAAGGTTTATAATACCTAGTTAAAGCTCATTTTCATTATGTCATGACAACTGATACTTTGCAGTAGGTGCTATAGTTAAAAGTGAAGTGTGCTGTACTAATGACACTTTTTTAAAGCTGTCCCGGAAGTTAGCATTACCCTTTTCCTCTCAAAAAACAAAAACACTACAGGATTTTTCCATGATCTTTTGAATTATTGCAGAAAATAAGTACTGCGACCAGCAAAAGTTTATGATTCTTACACATTTTATCATGATAATCTTCATAAATGAACACAATTTTGAAGTCTGCCAGAAGTAATATTGCAGTCTTAAATTATTTTGCAGATGTGTGATTTAAAACACAACTAGGCTGAGAATAGGCTGAGATATTTTGAAGCATGTGTGTAACCAAACAGTTGCTGGTTCCCATTGACTTCCTAAAAAAAAAAAAGAAAAAGTGGGACCAGAAACCCACATTTGGTTACCCACATTTAATGTCCTTGATAACCTCTGTAGTCCCGTTTAGCCACTTGTTAGCAGTCTCTTTTTTTCAAGTAAAAACTTTTAAAAAATCACAAGGACATATTACTGATGCATTTTATGCCGTGGGATAAAACATGAAAATATCTTGAGCTTGTGTTCACCACAGACCTTATTTCAGGTATTTAAAGGGTTAGTTCACCCAAAAATTAAAAGTAGGCTGAGTTTTACTCACAACCCCAAGGCATCCTAGGTGTATATGACTTTCTTCTTTCAGACGAATCCAGTCGGAGTTATATAAAAAATTGTCTTTGATGTTTCAAGCTGTTTCATTGCAGTCAGCGGGTGTTGCAGTGCATCAGTCCAAAAGAAGTTAAATAAAAAGCGCCCATGCATAAAAAAAAGTGTCTCACACGGCTCCGGGGGGTGAACAAAGGCGAAAGGTGAAAAAAAAACATGCGTCTTTGTAAGAAAAAGGCCAAAGGTGAAAAAAATCGATGCGTCTTTGTAAGAAAAATATCCATATGCAAAACGTAATAATCACTTTCATCTAGCTTGCGCCAGCAGTTGTACACTGGAAGCGGACTGCAACGATAGAGCTTGAAAGATCAAAGACAATTTTTAATATAACTCCGACTGGATTCGTCTGAAGGAAGAAAGTCATATACACCTAGGATGCCTCGAGGGGTGAGTAAAACACAGCCTAATTTTCATTTTTGGGTGAACTAACCCTTTAACTAAAAACCCATTAAAACAAACCGATTGACTTTGGGATGGTGGAATTGGAAGTGCTAAAATGCTAATTTGTTTCCAGGTTTTGGCCTAAAAATATACATATTTTATAATATATAATATCAATCTATTTATTTATTTTACCAGCAGAGGTTGTGCGAGGTTGAGGTTAATTAGGGTACATTCTGTGCACATGCATAATCTGCATTAGCTTGTTTCACACAGCAGAGGTAAGAAAAATATATTTTTAATCTAACCAAATCTGATTAATTATGGAAAAATTTTTAAAAAGACAATGCACGCTCTACACAATTTCCTTGCACAATTTCCTTGAGCTGAGCTCACAGCTAAAGTTTTTCTATGCTATGAACCCAGTAATGTGCTAATGGTCCCTTGCTTTTCATGTGAGCTGGTCCCTTTATACAGCAAAATTGACAAAGGCACCCATAGTCAATTTGACTACAAAACTCAAACTCGTTTTAAAAATGAAGCCATATAATATAAAAACTATATATTTTCCTGATAATAGGAAAATAATATGGCATAAAGGTTTGGACAGAAATGTTGATTCTGTATTAGTGATGTTTCACCCATATTAGAATCATATTGAAGTCTTCAAGACTATGAAACAGGGACCATGGCAATCACCTGATTCCAGCTCTTCTCACTCCGGATGCTCTTAACCAACTTCGTAACTTCACAACTTCATAATAGTAGGATACTTTAAAAAAAACTATGTTTCGTGTTGTTGTTGTTGTTGTTATGACATTTTTAACTTAAATTTTAAATTTTCGTTTTGTATAGAAATGTATATGTTGGTGAAATTGTGTAGTTTGTCTACACAATTACTTTTAACCAATTAAGCAGAAGCGAAATCTAAAAAATTTTAAAATCATGAGAAACAAGTTTAATTGTCTGGAAGTGTACATCTTCTATCATGTTGTAATGCCTTTGAAACTAAATTTGTTGTTTTCTTAACAAAGTATGTGTGTAGTATCCCCTTTCTTTGTTATTGCACACATTAATTCAGCTGTTAACACACTGTGACATACCTGGAGCTCCACCAAATCAAACATATCAAAGTGAAGACATGCCAAACAAAGGTCCTGCCAATGGATCTGCTTGAACTGTAGAAATAAGGTTTTTCAGTCTTGTAGCATTCATGCAAAATAAAAAAATAAAAAAATAAAAGTGATCTGCTGAGAAATATGTATGCAAAAGATGTGGAGTGGCATTTATTTCAAATCTGCTAGAATGAGTAGAGTTTCAGGGCGAATTTAACTTTCATCTGTCACCAAATTTTGGTTTGTAGCTATTGCTCAATTTTTATTTTTTATATTATTTGAAGCAATAGCAAATTCTTGTAATAGTGCACTAGTCCAAAATGTCAAACACTGCATATGTTTATTGTAATTAAAATAAATTTTTATTTTTATTTCTACAAAATGAATATCAATTCAATAGATTATATCAAAATTATGGGATTTAAATAGTTGGAGACCAAAATCACCATTTTAAGTGCATATAATGCAGACTAATGCATAGCTAATTTGTTTTGTAGCATAACTACTGTATGTTATGCTAATTTTATGTTACATAATATTTTATCTAAAAAACAACAACAACAACAAAAACACAGGATTTGTGATTCTCAGAGGACATCAGAATGTACTATTTTCGTGTAAAGTGCCAAGTTAGATTTTTGTTGCGATATCATGTGACAATGGAGTTTATAAACTTTAATCAGGTACCAGGTTCAAAGGCCTTGTAACCAGCTGCTGTTTTTATTTAATCTCTTCTTTTGGTCTTCTATGTGAACGTGGAATGCTATCATAATGTGTTCTTCTGTGGCAGATAATCACTAATAAAAACATACTCCATATACTGTATATTTACAGATGAACGTACTGTTCCTCAAAATTCATTGCGTTGGGAGAACTATTTTTTGTATCAAGGCCATACTTCCAGTACATATAAAAAGAACAATGACATTAATAGGAATACCAGTGTACACAATACACATCAGTATCAATACAGAATGCAAAACAATACACCAATTGAAATGCAAAATATGCATAAAAAAGAAAACAAATAAAATGTACACCAACAGTGGATACAGTAAGCTTTAAACACAGACAAAACAAAACGGACCCAAAAGTCAAAATTGTCTACTTTAATGCATTTTTCTACTACAAATTGTATTTATTTACTTTTAATCATAACAATTTGAGTAAAAAGTTGAACAATAGACATGAATGACTTAGTATTTTTATCATAATGAAAGTTTGAGCTGACATGAACACAACTTGTTGGTTTTGAGAACAACCCAAAGAGCATCTAGTGCTTCAATGGCAGCAAGAAAATCTGTCACTAATTTGCTTACATTAATGCATTATTTGAATTAATTTATACATTACATATACTAATGCACAGAATTGATTGAGTACTATTTCATTGTGAATATGGCTATAGCCACTGGGCAGTGTAAAGTGGCTGCTGTACTGTATTCAAGGGATAATGTACAGTCAGACGGCCGTTATTACAGAATAAACCCTGACAGGTTGATCGGGTCACCAGTCATCCTAAAGGAGTTTATTCTGAGTTAAGGACCAGCTGAAGGTACTGTACATTATCCAGATAGCAAAGTAAATTACAGTGAGAAAAAAAAGTTCAGTTTAGGTTTAGTGTTTCTGTTGCACGATCTTTATCTTGCTAATAGATCAATAGTAGCTCATCATCAGTCAGCTCATGGGCTTTGAACTAGACCACACCACCCTATTACACACCTGTCCAGATATGACATTAAACACATTTCATTATAATCATCTCACTATTCTTATAATAAAGGAAAATTAATATTATTTTATTTAAATCAGCATAAATAATAATACATCATTTTTTCACATTAGTGTAATGAGGACTGAGGCCACTGTGGCCATAAAATAAAAGTCACAGTTGCACAAAAAATATTTTCTTGGTGCAGAATATCATTTCTTATTTCTTTCCTTTGGGTAAAATATGACCAGACATGTTTCGTTTTCGTGAGATTCACCCTATTATATCTAATACAATGGTATTTCTTCATTTTAAGTGTGCTTTTATAGTTTTTGGGCCACTGTAAAGGGTTAAAGCATCTTTGGCCAGACGTCAAGAGCTCTCTGATTCCCCGCAGCGATCAGAGGAGAGAGCTGCACGTTTCTCTGCGAGTCTCGGGTCCATGTTGGAGTTGCTCTGCTCTGCTGGGTCATTTCAGGCCACGTCTGTCCGAGCACAGGAGCAAACGCTGGTATTACAGGGATATCTAATAAAGGACATACACATATACTGTGCTGCAGCTTCGAGGTGAGTCATTATTTCCTGTTTTACGTCTGTGTGAAGTAAAACGGCATTGCTTTGCTGTAAAATGTATCCGTGTTAAACATCGAGAGCCAAGTGCAACTCGGTATCGCTCCGATAGCTGCTGTGTTTCTAAACTACATGAAATGTCACAGCGCTTGATTAATGTTCCACATGTGTTTTCAAGCGGATGTGGTTTTTGGCACTTTTTAGCGTCTTTCGGCAAAAAGAGTCGTGGAGGCATTTATAAACATCACCTTAGCCTACATTTACCCCGAAGCAAAAAGATCCCTCGTTGACATTCTTATGAATGTTATCTGTAATGTCATTAAAACAATATCCTTCATGTAATGCTCAGTGCAGTGTTGTTGTTGTTGCTGCTGAAGTTATGGTTGCATGTAAACGGTCATGCATACGTGCATGCGTCGTGTACCCGTTTGCAAACTTCAGTCAGACGTTACAATAAACTTTTATGACATCCGACCGTTTTTGCTCTTAAATGTGTTAGAGTTAGCCGGTGTTATTTGATTGGCTCACGGACAGAGCCCAACGGTTTGACCCACTTACAGAAACGCCATCATTTCAACACATTTTTTGAAGAAATGTAATCATTATTTAACAGAAAATTATTATATTAGCCAATAAAGATTGCAACATTTGCATTCTAATCTGGCAACATGGTGTGATTGTAGCTACTATAATAAAATTGTTGCAATTGTTTGTGCATGCAGGGGAAGGCCAACTATCATTCATTATATCTGTAGTTATTAACTCTTTATGAAACACTTTGTTTTGCTACTATACTGTGCATACTATTTCTGTTGAATGCATTATGTATACTGTTATACATGGAATACCCAGATGACCTACCGCAGTCGTTCTGAATTCCAGTCCTGGGGTACCACCGCTCTGCACATTTTGTATGTCTCTCTTAAAGGGATAGTTCACCCAAAATTGAAAATTCTGTCATTAATTACTTTACTTTACTTTACTTTTAGTCATTTAGCAGACACTTTTATCCAAAGCGACTTACAAATAAGAAAAAGTAATTAAAGCTAAAACTCTATAAATACTATATATATACACATTTAAGAAAATAAAAGAAATTAAATAAAAATGACAAATGCATACAACAACATTTCAAAACTAAACATTTAAATGAAAACAAAATAAATAAAGTATAATAATGATTCTAACATAACACTAAGCCAAACACCAAAAACAACTACATATGTGTATGTACAGCCACACACATATACATGTACATGTACATATATATAAATACATTAAATATATATATATATTATTTCATTTCCATTTTGTATGTTGGAGTACTGAAATAACTCGAATTAAATAAAACTAAAACTTAATAAAAAACCTATATAAGGTTCATCTTCGGAACACAAATTAAGCTATTTTTGATGAAATCTGAGAGCTTTCTGACCCTACATTGACAGCAAGGTAACTACCACGTTCAAGGCCCAAAAAGGTACCAAGAACATCAACAAAATAGTCCATGTGACATCAGTGGTTCAACCGTAATTTTATGATAATACTTTTTGTGTGCAAAAAAACAAAAATAACGACTTTATTCAACAATTCTTCTCCCCCGAGTTACCATCTACAGCCATTATCGGGAGCACCACAACACATGCCCGTGGTTTCCTTTGCTTGTAAACAATGCGCAGCGCACGCGTGTTCTACATCAGCAGCATCACGTGCATGCGTCGTGTTACTTTTGATAATGGTGGTAGATGGAAAGCTCTCGGATTTCACCAAAAATATCTTAATTTGTGTTACGAAGGTGAATGAAGGGTTTGGAACGACACGAGGGTGAGTAATTAATGACAGAATTTTCATTTTTGGGTGAACTAACCCTTTAACTAGCGTGCTAGCGATTTCACCCCAGTGCTTCTCTGTGTCCTTATGGTTGTGGTACGTTGTCGACACATACAGACAGTTGTGTTATTGCAAAACTAGCCAACTCTCTAAATCGAGAGGAGACCTAACTATGCCCTATGCTAAGGACATCTTGCAAGGAGGCTCACAGAAAGCCTACAAACCACCAATGATGTCCTAGCAGAGCTCTGGGGAGTGGAGGCCTCAATAAAAATAACTGTTTGTCGTGAGAGGAGGCCTGACAACGCTTGCAGTAGGGCTGGGAAAATAAATCGATGCATCGCGATTCAGCATCGTTTCTGAGATTTTCCGAATGCATCGCGATTCTCTCTTGAATCGATTCTGAGCTTAGTTTTGAACAGCAGATGACACTGCATGCTTTAGAAACAGCCGTACTCTGCTTGTTTCCAAATCCTTACACACACTTGAACCTAGGCCTGTCGCAATAATCAATATATCGACTTATTGCGCAATATATGTACATGACCTCAATAATTTTTGGTGACTCAATATATCGCACATTATATTTACATAAAAATTAATGTCACCATGTTTTTTGCATTCCACTTGCGCCTGTATCTTTTGCAGCTTCTCGTACATAACGTGGCGTAGTCATGAGGTGCTAGTTCAAATTTAAAAAATGCTTCTACAAACAAAGTTTCGTCTGCAGATATGATCTTGTTTAGGGATCTGTGTCTTTGTGCATACGGACATCTGACTGCTGAGTAGTGATTGTGTTTTTCAGCAATACAGTGCACCCTTAATTTACAGAGAAAAGAAGGTCCGGGAAAAATCTGTAGATGGAAAAATCTTTTTTTCAACTTTTTACTTTGCACTTTTTGTTAGAAAATGTTTATTTACTATTTATTCAAGTTTTTTAAGGTATCTAATATTTTGATACTTAATTTCC